ACACAGAAACACACATACACAGAAACTCACATACACACACAAATACACACAAATACACACACACACACACACACACACACACACACACACACACACACACACACACACACACACACACACACACACACACACACACACACACACACAACACCCACACACACACACACACACACACACACACACACACACACACACACACACACACACACACACACACACACACACACACACACACACACACATATATATACACATACACGCGCACAGGTTTCAACACATTAACTGTGACTACACAGCTGGAACAGGAGTTGAGGAAAACATGTGCACGGCTTGTTTCTCCTCAATCCTTTGTTCATGGCGCGGTTTCATCATGCCCGAAAGACCTGAAAGCCGGGGTGTTTTATCTATGGGAATGGAAGACAAAGCCTTCAGTCCTTTTCAAAGACACAGAAGTAGCCAGCAGTCAACCAAGCTCGGTGCTCCAAATCACGGACACCTAGGTGTCAGACCCGGTTTCATGCCGCTTCCCGTTCCCAAGGGTCTGTTTTGACAGCCACATGAAGAGAGCCACGGGAGCCTGCGCTTCGCCGGAATGCCCAGGAGGAGGTGGATCCCGAAGACAAGAAAGCAGTTTGCCTGGTTGCCAAAGGGCGGGGCGATAAAGTTGACTCGGGAGAGGAGAGTTTGGCGACTGCGCGGGATTCACTGGGCATGAGCAAAGTGGCAGTCGGGTTTGCTTTCAGTACACAGGATCCGTGCCCGAGAGCTTGAGTTGCAATGGGCAGAGACGCGCAGGGGACCAAGGCATGGTCGATCAACCTCAGCTGACCTTGAACCACACATTTGTACATCATTTGCAGCGGGCGCTACGGCGAAGTAATGGTTTATGAAAATAAACCAGTGGGGCGTGAAGGGGGCCTTTTATTGGAGGGTGTCTCCTGTGACACAAGCTCCTCAGCTGCGAGGATGGCTCTAGAGAACCATGCTGCAGGTGCGAACGGTTTGGTGCTTGGATGCTGGGAGTGCTTGCCTGGGATGCTGAGTGCAGGTGGAGATGAGCCAGAAGGAATCTCTGCTGGGACCAGTCAAATTTTGTAGAGTGATGCTGGTGTCCACAAAATGTCATATACACATATGATCTTCTCCATGAAGGTTGCCTCCTGGCAAAATCTGGAATGCTATTGCTTGCATCATGATCATTCTATCTCACCCATGATGTTTCCATTCAAGCTCCAATGAGCAAGGATGCCAGTCATGTCAAGATTATGCTCGATGTGAGAACCCCCGTCTGTTATTCACCGTCGCATCTTGTAGCATTGCCTGGCTTTCTGGCAGACCAGGGTCGAATGGGTTGCTTGAGAGCGCCGTCACATGTTGGGACTCCGCACTGTTTTCGGAGACCTCGCTTGGCGGTTTCTTCCCAGCCTAGGCGAGCTCTGGTTTCAGAAGCAGCTGCGCAGCGAGGCTTTCCACGATGTCCAGGCCACTTGCGAAGTTGCTTGTCGGTTTTTGTTTCTCTACCTCTTTCCCTTTTGTTGCGCTTTGTTTGTCGTTCTCCTTCTCTTTCTCGTTCTCGTTCTCTTTCTCTTCTTCTTTCTCGTTCTCTTTCTCTTCTTCTTTCTCGTTCTCTTTCTCTCGTTCTCTTTCTCTTTCTCTTTCTGTTTCCGTTTCTGTTTCGCGTTCTCTTTTTTCCTTTTGTTTGTCTCTTTCTTTCTCTTGCTCTTTCTCTATCTCTTTCCTTCGCTCTCCTTCACTTTTGTTTTCTCTCTCTTTTGCTTTCTCTGTTTGTTTCTCTTTCTCCCTCTCATTGCTTCTCTCTTTCTCCTCAGCATTCCCTGTCCCTTTCTCTTTTCTTCTTTTTCTTTCTCGTTCTTGTCCTGTCTCCCAGTCTCCCTGCCTCCCTGCCTTGCCTACCTGTCTTCCTGTCCCGCGACATTGGAGCGCTTTTTCTACGAAGCCTTTTGCTGTCCCCGGCCGAAGGGGGTACTGTGAAAGTTACTATGAGGGGCGCTTGGAACTTTGCTTGAGGTTGGTTTGAGGGGATTGAAGCTGAGTGAAAGGGTTGCTTGAGGATTGATCTCCACAGGGAGTTCTGGGGTTCCTGGCAGGTTCAGTTGAAGACCAGCATGCGGGCCATGCTTATCCTGAACTCCGACGAGGTTCTCAAGGCGGGGGAGTGAGCTCAGCTGCTCAGCAAGGGCTTCAAGGCATCCAACAGAGAAGAGGCAAAGCGATTTGACTTGGGTACCATCAAACCGAACTACCTCGTGATCATGGGAGAATAATGTGTATGTTGCTCCTTAGATTGCCAGCTTTTTAAGGAGAGCCTCCGTGGCTTGCAGTTGGTTCTTGACATCGCCAGATCCTGACACGTTGGAGGACCCAGCTCCAGGGCCTGGAAATCACAGGAGTGCAGAGTTACTGAGTTGCTGTTGTCGGTGCCGACATGGGCGAGCAGAATTTCATTTTTTTAGGGCTCTCCCCAAACAAAAGGATCCCCGCCTTGACCCTTGCGTGGTTTTTCAAGTCTTTGCATCCTTTGGATAATGCGCGACTTAGATTTGTCGCGATCCCAGCCAGCGGCCTCGTTCAGCGTGCGTCGGAATTGCAATGCGAGCACTTCTCACGCGTCTCAATCCCAATGTGGCAAAGTCAATCCACCTATCGACAAGAAGTGTATTTGTTTTGGACGAGCAATTGCCATGCTTCAATTGATCGGCACTTGTGCACTTGCACTTGACAAACATGCGTGCTTTCGTAAGGGTTCTTCATGCACGAAGTTCAAGTCTTTCATTCCGCGAGTGGCTCTCGATGTTTCTCTTGCCGAACAGGCACTGGAAACTCTGACAGATGCCGGGCGCCTCAGGGTGCTGATGGGGCTTGAGGATGAGGGCTTCCAGAGGGAGCTTTGTAGGCACCATAGGTGTCCTTTTGGTTGTTTTGGTCGAAAAATAGATGGCCCTGGTTTACCTGTTGGTTTAATCATCTACCAAGGCCGCCATCTATTTCCCCGAAAGGACGCCTATGGTAGGCACGGTTTTGATGAACCCTTTGGGAGCAAAGAAAAGTCAAGGTTCAGTCGCAGCCTGCATCATGGACGTGGATATCCTTTGCAGCGTGGCTGAAAGCCAGGAGCGGAACTACCCGGCGGCTTTTGGATGCACCTCCGGGAAGGACCGGACAGGCCATCGATCCATCGGTTTGTTCCAAGTGCCCGCTTCCACTTTCAGTATTTACCAGCTTGAGGAACTGGCTGAGGAGTTGTTCTGGTTGGATGTTTGGATGGCTGGGTTGTGATTGGTTGTTTGGTTGGTCAGTCAGTCTGGTTGATTGGATCGTAGTTTTGCCAAGGAGCTCCGAAAACTACAGGGAAACAGCCAAAGCGTGTTGGGCACTGAGAAGTTTTGCTTCACGACCCCAGAATCCAGCGGTCCCAAGAGTCACGCGCGAATCAACTCACTTGATCCTCTTGTGGGAGCTTGTGAACAAATGGATATGTTTGGAAGCGTGGTTTCTTGGTACCTCTCAAGCCAAACACATGTACTTTCTGGCTTGACAAGGCCTAAATGTGCCGAGATTGACACCAAGACGAGTGTGTATTGAGCTTCTCAACTGCAAACAAATAGAAACATCTCTGCACTCTGGGAAGCCGAGAGGAAATCACTGGGGCAGAGGGATTGTGTGCAGGTCTGTTGGCGTGCTTGCTCCACAGCGTGCTCGGGGTGAAAGAGGAGGACTCGGGCTGAAATTCTTGGACCAATCACAGTGCAGTTGATTTCCTGGATAGACACTGCGTAGACCAGCCATGAGAATTGTCAAGCAGGATGAAGAGACAAGCAGGGATCCTTCCTTGTAACACTGGCACTGAGGGGCTTTACGCCGCCTGGGACAAGCAAGTTTGTTTGTTTAGAGCAGATTTGTCCATGCAAGAACAGCATTCTTGATGGTTTGTCTAGCCCAGACACCAACTCTTTAATGCACAGTCTAGCCGGATTTGGATGTCTTTGGTTGGGCAACAAACTGAATCGACGGTTTGGTTTCCCAAGGTCGGATGTTTCTTGGGGAGACCCAGCCAGCGCCGGGCGGGCGGTCTCGGTGTACAGCTGATGTTTGGGAACGCCCACCGCAGCCTTGGAGTCACAGGCCGGACACAATTCACCAAGATCAGTAAGCCGACTTCAATCAACCCCGTTTACCCTGAATCAGAACAAACATGTGTCATGAAGCTTTCGATGCTCACTGTGACAGATCAGCGTCAAACTGGTCTGAACCATGCATCCCCAAAAGCCTGCCTCTGAATGAAGTCAACTACTTGGCGGCACTCCCAGTTTGCATAGCATGTCCATGGGCCGGAGCTGACATGGGCTTGCAGTTGCTATGCTGTCTATTTGTCAGGGGATGATGCTGTTTTCTCAAATTTGGAAGATTCATGCATCTCACATGCACCAGTGCATCCTTATTCATAGCTGCACCTGGAATCTCTTAGGCAACATTTCTTCCTTCCCCACCAATGTTTGGGAAGGACATTATCGCCGACTATATGCTCACCAACGAGGCCGCAATGAATCTCGCGTGCCGGTTTTGAACAGAGTCCTGATCCGATTTTTTTTTCTCCTGGGGTCTGGTGGCAAAAGGCCAGTCGAAAGGGGTCTTGGCAACTGCAGATCCTCTTGTACCTTGTAGATTCTGGCGGCTTCACCATTGCTTGATTCTACCGCTGCGTCAGGTCAATCTATTCGTCCATGTGGTTCACAAGCTTCACGGTTGGCAACATGTAGATGGTAGGCACAAAGAGAGACCCGGAATACCACACTTGGAGTCCACACTTGGAGGCCCAAGGAGAGAAGGATGCATTTCTTCCAAGAGAGGAAACACGCCCTGCCTGTCTGGTGAGGGGCTGTGGTTTGTATCCGTGCCAATATACGCACCCTTGTAGCGGTACAAGGGTAGCTCGGGGATGGAATCCATGTTCGCACACGCGAATCAGATGTGAGTCCAGAGCCATTTTGTGCTTTAAGCAAATTGGGATCTCCAACCCATAGGGTCAGCTCGGCGCCGGGCGCTGGGGATTTGGTGCCGGAGCGCTGCGCTGGGCTCAGGCATCGTACCACATCAACGCCTGCAACCAAATTGCAGTGGCCATGTGGTTCGAGGCGGGAGAAAGTTGCGAAAGTTGTTTGGGGGGTTTGGTTGCGGAATCACGCCTCCTCTCCTACTTCTACACAA